AAGGAGTGTGTGTGAGTGTGAGGGGTAAGGATTGTGTGAGTGTGAGGGGTAAGGAGTGTGTGTGTGAGTGTGAGGGGTAAGGGGTGTGTGAGCGTGAGGGGTAAGGAGTGTGTGTGTGACTGTGAGGGGTAAGGAGTGTGTGTGTGCGTGTGAGGGGTAAGGGGTGTGTGAGTGTGAGGGGTAAGGAGTGTGTGTGAGTGTGAGGGGTAAGGATTGTGTGAGTGTGAGGGGTAAGGAGTGTGTGTGTGACTGTGAGGGGTAAGGAGTGTGTGTGTGAGTGTGAGGGGTAAGGAGTGTGTGTGAGTGTGAGGGGTAAGGATTGTGTGAGTGTGAGGGGTAAGGAGTATGTGTGTGAGCGTGAGGGGTAAGGAGTGTGTGTGACTGTGAGGGGTAAGGAGTGTGTGTGTGAGCGTGAGGGGTAAGGAGTGTGTGTGTGCATGTGAGGGGTAAGGAGTGTGTGAGCGTGAGGGGTAAGGAGTGTGTGTGTGTGTGTGAGGGGTAAGGAGTGTGTGTGAGTGTGAAGGATAAGGATGTGTGACTATGAGGGTTAAGGAGTGTGTGTGTGTGTGAGGGGTAAGGAGTGTGTGTGACTGTGAGGGGTAAGGAGTGTTGTGCTGAGTGTGTCCTGCTGCCCATGTTGGCGCTTGGTGTGGGATGTCCTCACCCGAGGGACAGGAACCCCAGTGGAGTTCAGCTCTGCCCTCCACTCCTGGTGGTGAGCTGGGCACTGGCAGCCCCTCGGAAGCTCAAGTTCCTCCTTTAAAAGTGGGCCTTGGGCTCCCTCCGGGGTAGTTGTGGGGAGGCGAGGAGACCATGTGTAGAAGGCCTGGCTTCTAGAAGGCATTAGCCCAGCGACATCTGTTCCCTTACTGGACTGCCCAGGCACAGTTCTGAGCCCCACCATAGGGCCAGGTTCAATGAGTCACCCCATTCACACACAATCACTTCGTGGCCTACATAGGCTTGTCACTAGGTCAAGGTCACATATGTGTTGGCAGCAAAGCCCACTTCTGGACACTCCTTGTCCTAATCCCAAGTCTGCACTTTCTCTCCTCTGTGTACTGCTTTTTCTGGACCTGTCCTTGGAAATCAGGGACAACCTTCCAAAGAAGTAGCTGAGCAAAAGCCAAAGACTCACGGACTCCCCAAGTCACAGTCGCTGGTAAGGGTGCTCTTACCAGCTGGAAGCCGGCTCCCAAGGCTGGTGAGGCCGAGTGGAGAGAAAGAGGAGAGGAGAAGAGGGGAAGGGAGGGGAAGGGGGAGGGGAAGGGGAGGGGGAGGGGAGGGGGAGGACATAGGGTGGGGGTGGGAAGGCCAAGTGGAGTGAAAGGGGCAAGGGCAGTATTAGGGACCTGGGGTCAAACACTGCCATTTGCTATTCACAAATGGTGTGACTTTGGGAAGATTTAACTTCTTTGAATCTCAATTTATTTATTGGAAAATTAATCGCACTCCCCACACATCTGTCTCTGTCTGTCCCCTCTCTCTCGGTCTGCCTGTCTGGGTGGTTGTGAGGATTAAATACTGAACTCCGTGACCTGTGCAGCATCCAGCACGGTGCCTGGACTGCGCCGCACCCCGCCCCTCCCCGCCCCTCCCCTCCCCACCCCACCCCTCCCCTCCCCACCCCTCCCCTCCCCTCTACCTCATCCCACTGCTCCCAGGACTAATCAGATAAGGGTTTACCCAACACCGGTTTGTGCCCCTCTCCACTCTCTTAAAAAACTGGCTCCAAACTGCTAAAGGTTCCTCCTGGGAGAGGGAGGACGGAAGTGGGCGATAAATGGCCTCGGTTCACTTGGCGACCGCCTCCCTGTTCTCCGCAGGGCTGTCCTCGCCCAGTGTCCACCTCGTTCTTGGGCGGTTGTACAAAATAGATCCTTTGATGGTTTTGTCTAAATATCTTGGGAGCCAGAGGAATGAGGGCCAAGTTAGTCATCCTCTGTGCAACTACAGCCAGGAGGCGATTTTAATCTTGCCCAGCCAGACCCTGCACTAAGATACACAGTCCAATGAGATGTCCTTGAGAACTATGGATGTGGTTCTATGCGGCCAGGGTTGGGCAAGTCTGGTCTTCTATGAATGGAGACATATTCATCGAGTGCCAGGGGTGGCCAGTGAGGCAGGCTTGGGGGCCGAGTCAGAGATGATCAAGCCACAAAGGGCGGAGATGGGTGTGGCTGTGGTGGCTCAGATTAAAGGCTTCATCCTAGCACCAGCCAGAGAACTTTCTGCGGCGATGGAGATCTATTTCTGTGCTCTCTGATACAGCAACCATATATTTGAGCAGTTGAAAGATGGCTCGTGTGACATTGGAATTACATTTTTGATTTAATTTAAATAGCCACATGTGGTTAGCGGCTACCATACGGACGGCATAGCATTATACAAATAGCACCTCGGGGCGCGGCCGCTTCCAAATGGGTGGAGTCGCACCTGAGAGTAATTCCAGTGAACCATTCTCAGGGTGACTTGGTGTGACTGCAGGGCTCTTCCTCCCCACCGCCAGTGGTGGCTCACTGGACAGATGAAGGCAGAACTGGGGAGAATTTGGAGGGTGCTGAGGAGGGGAGGGGGCAGTGCAGGCCACAGCACATCACTGGAACCTGTCAGGTGCTGGAGGTTTAGGTTTTGACCAGTGTCAGGCAGTCCTGCCTCCGTTATCACTGGCCCCGTGGGGTCCATTCCCATCAAGATGGGTAGAGACCCAAGTGTAGTTTCCAAGAGACTCAGGGTCCGTTTTCCTGGGACAGCACTGAGCACATACTGCATGGCAGGGGTTGGTCTCCCCCAAACTCCCTGAAGTAGAGATTCAGTCTACCTTGGTTTAGTTGATGTTTGAAGAAGAAATGAGTAAGTGATCACATCAGTTCTGGTAGTTTTGAGCAATGCTTCCTAATGTGATTCTTTGGTCTCTTTCTAGAAAGGAGCTCACACCTGAGCACAGGGTGGTTGGGCAGCCTGGGGCCTTGGTAAAAGGGATGAACTCAGCCTGACTTGTGCCCACTGCTCTTTCTTCCCCTTCCTCCTTTCCTTGACACTCTTCCACCTCCCCCATCTCCAGGCCCCCAGCCGATCTCCTTGGGCTGGACCAAGCCCCTCACTTCAAACGCACAGCCCAGCCCTGAAAAGCAAAAAATGCCTTTCTTCCCAGCTGATCTCAAGAAGGAACAACCCCTCCTCTCCTGCCTCCTCAACCCCAACAAACAGACCAGGGCAGGTTCCTGGGGTAATAAAAATCACTCAACTAGTTGTTTGAGGTCTGGGTCTAAATGCTGGCTCTGCCAAGAATCCACTTTGTGATCTTGGGCAAATGATTTCCCCCATCTGGGCCTCGGTTTCCCTGCATGTGGAATTGGCAAGTTGAACAGTCTCTCGAAATGCTAACACTGCAGGATTAAAGTAGATCCAGTGGAATGTGATTATCTGAGAGGCTTAATCACTCCAGGAGGCTTTGCCATTTCAAAGAAGAGCTGGTTAATCCAAATGAGTGAGTGTCTAATTGGCTGCCTGTGGCAGGGGAGCTCCCCGAAGTAGGAGGCCTTCCAGATTCCCTCACCTGCTCCCAGAAACCACCGGCTCCTCCACCCTAAGGTAGAGGGCACCCTCTGGCCCCTCAGGTGGGGAAAGGCTGCCCTCACGCCCAGTACTCGCAGAAGCCATCAACCACCCACAGCAGATTTCTGTCTTTCCTGGGCTGGCTTGGCTCTGGGAAGGGAAATCTGGCTGGAGAGAAAAAGTTCAGATAAACAGAGGAATCCTGTGCCTAAAAAATAAGATCCCCAGCCCGGGTCGGGCGCATGTGGGAGGCATCGACCACTGATGTATGTCTCGCTCACACTGATGTTTCTCTCTCTCTCTGTCCCCCTCCACTCCCTTCCTCCCTTCCACTCTCTCTTAAAAAGTTAATGGAAAAAATATCCTTGGGTGAGGATTAACAAAAAATAAGTAAAATAAAAGTTTTGGGGCAAAGAAAGTCCCCAGGAGCCTGGTAGTAAAAAAAGAACACGGGACTGGAAGTTGGGTGAACCTGGGTGCTAGGCCTCCCTCCAGGCTGTGGGCAGGTCACTCCATCCGAGTTTTGCCTTCCTTTTAAAATGGGGTGCATATATAGTAGCCAGCATGGCTGACCTTGCTTGGCTGAAGGGGAATCAATGGCTGCATGTACTGTTTTGTTTAAAACACTGTGCAAATGCAAAGTGGTGATGCCGATGCGTCCGCCTTCGGCAGGTTTGCATGGTCATCATCAAACAGCACAACACGGGCTCCGCCCAGCGCAGGTGAGCCCGTGCCAGGAAAATAGGCTAAATCATTCAAGAACTGTTTGAAGGATTAGGCAGAAATGGTAATGGCAACAGATGTCACCTGGTTCCCTCCAGGAACATTGAGGCTTCAGTGGAGTACTTCTCTGCTGGCTTCAGCCCAAGATGTGGCCACAGCCCTTGCCCTGACCTCCTGTTCTACCCAGAGACGGGCAAGGGCCCGGTTTCTGCCTGAGGTGAGGATCTGACTGGGAAACAGTAGAAGCTGAAATTCATCTTGGAAAGCGCTTCACAGGGCCACCACGTCCTGTAAGAGCAGCTAATTCAAACTTTTGGGGAAACGAGGAGCTGCCAGTGTAGCCTGGGGCTGTTTTTTCATGGGGGTCAGGAGCAGATGGAAGCACTGGGCTCTAGCCTGGGTTTGAGATGCCTCCAGGCCCCTGTAATAATGAGACCTGGGTGGCGGAGGGAGCCGCTAAGGGGACCATGGAAATGGATGGAGAGAGGCCTACCCAAGGATCAGTCCAGAGTTAGTAAGGCTTTTCGTTTTGGGCCGCACAGTGGCCACATTCTTGGGAGAACAGAGGCGTTGTCAGTATCACTGCATGGACTCTGTGCAGTTTCAGAAACACTAAAATAGAACCTGAGGTCACTCCAGGAAAAGACTTCAGGGAACTTCTGAACCTGCAGCCCTGGCCGCCTCCCGTCCTTGCGAAGGCCCTGGGCGCCCGCACCCACCTTTGAACGGGGACTGGGCTCGTGTCACCAGGAAGAGCTTCTTGCTCTTCTTGCTCTGCTGCCCCTGGCGGATGTAGTAGCCCAGCCTGTTGCAGCGGCCCTTCTTGCAGCTCAGGCACAGGCCCTGGCTGAAGGTGTCCATGTTGTTGCACAGGTAGGCTGTGCTCTGCATGTCAGGGTGCTGCAAGGAGTCGATAAAGAGGTGCACCGACCGCTCGTGGGCGCATTTTATGGTCTGGGTGAAGGCTGGAACACAAGGCAGGAAGGGTATTATCAACCTGTAATCCAAAGTACCTTCAGCTCAAAGAATCATCTTGTTTCTCAGGGCAGAGTAGCAACACCTTAGGACAGAGGGGTGGGGCTGCTGAGGTCGACCCACAACAATGGTGCACATAACAAGTGACCGAAAACTTCAGGAAGAGGAGTCCCCTCTCATCACTCAGTGTGGAGGCCTAGTCCCAGGCACCCTGCAACCACAGCATGTTACAGTAGGTGTTTTAGAAGGAACCCCAAGTCACTAAGAAAACAGACAATTATTTAAGAAAGCAGGATGGTATAATTCCTTTTAGAAATATTTCTTCCTCAGATGGCTGAATGTGCACAGGTGCTGATGCCTTGGTGGGGAATTAGCTGGGAAGGCCGGTGTGGGCTGTTCCTCTTACTAAAGGAGGGCAACCGGGCCGTGGAAGGGCCGGTGTGGGCTGTTCCTCTTACTAAAGGAGGGGAACCGGGCCGTGGAAAGGCCGGTGTGGGCTGTTCCTCTTACTAAAGGAGGGGAACCGGGCCGTGGAAAGGCCGGTGTGGACGGTTTCTCTTACTAAAGGAGGGCAACCGGGCCGTGGAAAGGCCGGTGTGGGCTGTTTCTCTTACTAACGGAGGGCAACCGGGGCCCAGGCACTCCAGTGGCTCAGCTGATGGTCTGGTGAGAGCTGAGGCCCCTCTGACATTGTCTGTATTCTGTCCCGAAGCAGCCACTGTGTCCCTGGGGTACTTGCCTGTAAAACCAACACTGGGGTGGGCTTCCAGGAAAACACACCCCTGTGACCCAGGCTGAGGGGCTCTAACCCCTCCAGCAAGCTAAGGTGGTTTAGCTACCTTTGTTTTTTTTTAAACTTTCCAAATCTTAACCTAATCTTGAGTAAATGATTCTCAAAGAAAGTTGAGAAACCACCACCAGACCTGTGAAGTACCTAATGTGAAAGCAGATCACAGGTAACTTTGCCCAAAGCTCTTTCCCCGAGAGTAGTCATCTCAGCTCTTGGGCACTAGTGGCTGCGTTTGCTGAGCACTTGCTAGGAGGCTGGTACCCAGCCGAGTGCCTCCATCATCTACTCCCTGCATCTACGGCTCCTGGAGGCAGCCGTTGTAAGTGAGGAAACGGAGCTTCAAAGACATTCACTAACTTATCCGAGCTCACCTAGCCTCACCTAGGTGATGAGGATGGTAAAGCAGTTATCAAGTTACCTTCTGTTCAACTACGGTTGTGAGAACCACTGCAGAACGGGATCACTTTCCAACAGAAGGGTGAAGAAAACTGAGAAAAGCCACACTGAGAATGGGCAAGCTAAATAAGTGTCGCTTTGAATTTGAGCACAAAAGAGCAAATAGCACTCATTGGCCAGAGATGCATTTACTAGGCAACTAGTTACTCAGCCCACCCGAGAGGTCTGTGCTGAGCTCCAGGAGGGTGAAGACCCGAGAGGAGGGCTGGATGGACAGTCAGGCAGGAGCTGCTGGTGGCTAAAGGGGTGATGACCCCATGGAGATGTGAGGACTGACCGGAGAAGTTCCCAGAAGGTGCTCTCAGGCCTGGGTAGCTGGGAGGCTGGGTGTCCTGCCAAAATGGGATGATGCAGAATGTGAAGGTCATCCTGGTAGGAGAGGTGATGATGGTGAGGCAGTTGCAGAGAGAGTGTGTTCTCAGCTCGGTTTGGGGTGATGGGGGTGAGAGCGGTATGTGGGGGCGGGGGTCTCCAGTTGGCTTCCAGTGAACTGGCATGTTTGGATTAGGATAATATTTTATAAAAAGGAGAAATTTGGAATGTCTATGGAAATTTTGGTATTTGTTGACAGTTTTGTTTTTTTAATCCTGTGCATGTTATCAATGTACATGCTAATGTTTCAGATTTGAGGGCAACCAAATCCGAAAGTGGGATCACAACCCAGATAATGCCAAGTTCAGCTTTTGCCCTGAGCCAAAGGAAGTCACGAGGGTATATTTAAAGCTGAACTTTGAATTGGAAGAATCTCAGGACTGTCCTGGAGGATCAGCTGATGAAACCTCACGGGGGTGGAAGAATTCTTCACACTCTTGTGAGACTAAGGCTCAAGAAACCATGATCTATTAAATGAATCCTCATGTGAGCCAGGATGGTGGAAGTTGCCTGAGTGAGGAAGCTTCTGGAGGAGGGGAAATAACCACAGGCATCAGGACTCAACTTTCAGAAGGGTTAATACCCCAGGAGAGACTTTGGACCGAGTTGGGGTAAGAGGTGGGGATTCCTGGTGGTGCCCTCAGCTCAGAGCTTGGGCTCCAAGGGTCTCTGTCTGATAAGAGGAGGAGCTCTCTGGGGGAACAGCAAGCCCCTCACACACTCCCACATACCCTCTCTCTGAATGGACTTGGTGAACATATACCCTGGTCCTGCATCTTTGCCAAACTCTTCCCAGAACCCATAGGCTTGGTAGATTTCACTGGATCCAGAGGCCCCATGCAGGTGCGGGAGTGTAGGCCAGTGCTCTGGGCCATGCCTTCTTCCTTACCATTCAGGCCATACTTGGCAATATGTTTGTAGAGCTCGAGGAAGTAGCAGCCGGGCTGGAAGGAGCCCCCGTTGGGGTAGAAGTCATAGTGTGCTATGGGCTCTTTGATGCCCACACTCAGGCCCATGTGCTCCCGGGTAAAGGTGTGAATGGAGTCCACAAATTTGGCATCATCTGGTGAAAGACGGTCATTGGGGCCAGCTCCTTCAAACAGAGGGCCTGCGGCATCCAACCCTAATAGGAAAGCAAGGGTAAGGTTTAGGTGGGAACAAGGGAAGGAGAGGAGAAATGCTCTTTTTAGCTTTTGCATGTTGTTACACATTCATGAGCTAGCAGGAAGAAGAAAATCCTGGGGCATAATCTTTCTCCAGAAAATCTTGCCACAACCTTTTTGCAGTAAAACCACAGTAATCCACGGTGTTGAAAATTGAACACAGTCTGCACATTATCTATCGAGAAAAGAGGTTTGCAGGAACTATCTGGTGGTAGAAATAAGGTTATGAGGGAATGCTTGATTTATTTAAACAAATCAATTTTAAGTACCTCTCCAGTTACTTTCAACAGCATCTGTTTGCATACAAAAGGCCCACTGTGCTTACTGTAAGTAGCTCTAACCCACCCATCAAGAAAGAATTTATTTGCCAGCATGTCGTCAATAATTTTTCTAAACAAGCTGGCTTTTCTCCTGCACTAATGTCATTTCATTGGAATGTCCAGAACAGCCTTGGGACATCACTGTTCCCTGGTGAAAATATTGTGAGCAAACAGGATGGCTCAAAGCGGCAGTCCTCAAGTGACAGATGTGTTTGCATGAGACCAGTGGCGGCTCCAGGCTGACAGTCGTTGGCTGACGGTAGTTGGGGAGCATTTATGCAGCCAGGGTTTTCTCTTTCTTCCTTCACCTTCTCTGGAGGGCCCTTTGATGTCCCACATCAGCCCTGGCTTTCATCCGTGATGAGGTGAAGGAATGGACAGGAGGCCAGGGGGGATTCCTGCTCTCCAGCTATAAGTGAGGATGTCTTGGTGTGATTTATATGCCTTTCTCCATCAGGCTGACTATAAGATGACAACTAATTAGCCATGCTGCTGCCTCTGACTTGTGGGCCTGCCTAAAAATGCCCGACGTGGCCCACGACACCAGCCAGAGTGAAGAGGGGCCTGGGCTTGGGGCGGCCTCTGTGATTCCGACCCAGCCTTTAGGCCTGGTTCCTTGCCAATGGACCTCGTTGGCCTTCTGTGGAGGGAGGGTCTGCTCACACCCAGGCTACTGAGTGTTACATCTCAGCGGTGGGGACACAATTACTGGTTTGGGGACAAGGCCTCCCAGTCACTGGCAAGATTTAAAAACAAAAAAAGGATTCTCATAATAACAAATTTATTTGGTTTAAATGCCTGCCATTATCCCTTTCTTTTTTTGTATTAAAATAAATGTCCTCTTTTATGAAGTAATGATGCCAGTAGATAGTAGTTGCCAAAAGTGTTCTTACTTGATAAAGTAAAAGGTCACAGCAATGCTATTCATCTTAAATTTCCTTTGGATTGTTCTAGCCTGTGAAATATTGCTTTAGGCTGCTCAGTCTTGAAGGATGAGTAGGAGTTTGAGGGTAGACTAGAGCTGGGCGGATGAGTGGCAGCAAGTTATTCCAGGCAAAGGGAACAGTACATGCAAAGGCCCAGCAGCACCAGAGGCCACAGTGTGTTTGTAAAGTGGAGAAAGATAGGGTGTTATGGAATCCTCGGATTATAGGAAGGGGGCTGCCAGAGGAGAAGTTGGAGCTGTGGGCACACTACACTAAGGGGTGGCCTGGGTCACTGTGGGAATTGGTGGGCCTCAGGGGCTTGGCTGGGGAAAGGTTCGATCAGGTGTGTTTTTCCTAATGTAGCTCTGGGCAGCCTGGGGGTGCAGTGGTGTTAGGGGCACGTGGGAGGAGAGGCTTTGCACGACTTTATCTCTTCCTGAGCATGGAGGGTCGTTTCCGGGTAGGCACAGAGCTTGGGGTGAGGTTTTTGGAACAGAGCTTCCTCCCTCAAATAAAATGGGTCCCAGAGTAAGACCCAGGGGTTTCACAGATGCAGAAACTGAGGCACAAACATGGCTGATGTTACAGCAGATTTAGGGCTGTTATTCTTTAACTCGCTCACGTTGGGCTTTTTAAACTATAGGTTGAAAATTGAACTCCTTCCAGCTACAAAAGTGTACAGATAGTCTCCTTTTTCGATCCTGCCTGGCTTATGAGAGGCCTCCGTTTGACGAAAGGCAGTGATGGGGGCTGATTCCGAGTTCTCGGAGCAGGGGTCTCGGACGCCCCTGTTTCAGAGCTGGGCTCCGGCCGGAGCCCAGGGCGGCCGGGCAGCGGCGCGTTCACCCCGAGGCCGGGGAGCGGGCCTGGGCTCCGGGCGCGGGGCAGCTTGGAGCCGACAGTTATCGGGCGTGGTTACCTGTGATCCTCCCAATCTTGTGCTTTCCGATGTGACTGCCAGCGAACCCCGACACGTGCGCACCCAGGCTGTACCCGATTAGATGAACTTTGCTTGGAGAGAGCTGAGCGGCCTCCTGGAAGACAGCAGGACGGCGGTGGCAGGAAGGGAGGCGCTGCCTGGGCAGAAGCCCCTGTGGGTCAGCTGGTTCCGGCTCCCACCCTGTTCTTTGTCACCGGACCCGCCTGGCGGTGCTGCCGCCTGCCTGCCTGCACCTGGAGGTGAACGGCCTGCAGAAGCCATCCCGTTCATCGGTGTGGGGTCTGCTGTGTTTAGATGCCTTCGCATGTCCAAGGAGGGAACATAAAAGGACTAGTGGATGGGGTGGGGGGAGAAGATGATTCTACAAAGATGGGGTGCCAGTGAGGCAGCTGAGAGAGCCCTGGGCCTGGGTCTCCTCCCGGGCCTTCCCATTCCTGCGAGCTTAGAGGTGTTCTCCTGTCGGGGTTGCTGTCGAACACCAGCTTAGTTCACCTGGTCGGAGAGGAGGGGAGAGGAAGGGAGGTGGGGGCAGGTCCTACCTCCAGCCACCGGAGAATCGCTGCCACCTCCTGGCCCACGAGGCGGGTGTTGCGGACGGCAATGGCGTAGTGGTTCCGGGCCAGGGTGATCCAGTCCGCCAGCGCCACGTTCACTGGCTGGGCCAGCTGAGACTTCAGCGCGGACACCATCTGCCAGATCCAGCTCTCCAGCACGCCGTCCACCTGAGGGTGGGCCCACAGGGTAGTCAGCGCCCCCAGGCGGGCACGCAGGGAGCCCGCACTCGGTTCCTCTTTCTCCCTATTCATCTCTCTCTCCCCTCCAACTCTTGGCTAATGCTGGATCCTTCTCTCCAAGAGAAAGGGCTTGAGGGGTTTCCCGGCCTCTGCATGATTAACATTTGGGGCCGGATGCGTCTTTGTTGTGGGGACTGTCGTGCATTGTAGGAAGGTTAGCAGCGTCTCTGGCCTCCATCTGCCCCCAGTTAGGAAAACAAAAAATTCTCCCGACTTTGCCAAATGTTTCCTGGGGGCTACCACCCCCAGCCCCAGACTGAGAACCACTGTGTTTTCTGTCCTCTCCCTCACTGCATTCTGCTTGCTTTGGAGGGACTAGCACCATGAGCCAAACCTAGGAGGAGCTCATGAAATGTTTACGGGGACTTGTTCTATGTATGTGCCTTGTTTGAGAACCAATTTGCAGGGCACTTTTGATGGGTCCACAGAGCAACAACATTTATGCTATGTCTTCAAGGATAAATAGGCGTTCTCTTAGAAGAATAAGGGTGGGCCGCTGAGTGTGGTGGTGGTGGTGGGGTTATATAGGGTGTTGCAGGTTGAAGGAAGAGTACGTGCAGAACCTCAAAGGGACAGTGGTATGTCTGGGGAGAGGAGAAGAGGCAGGTGTGGTTGAAGACTAGACCACAGGGGCGAAGAGTAAAGCTGATGGCTTGGCATGCTGTCCAGGGTAAGATCCATTCATTTAATAAGTGTTTCCCCAGCCCTGGCTGGACAGCTCAGTTGGTTGGTCCTCAGTCTATGTTAGGTCCCTTCTATAGGGGCAGAAAAGCCCCCCACTGCCTTCACTGCCAACCCCCATTTCTCTAGGGAAGGACCCCTTTAAATCCTGGGAGGGAAGCTGCTGGCAGACTGCAGGAGCCTCTGTGCTATTCTGGGATGGCAGGAGAAGGCACTCCTCACACCCAGAGGCATCATGTGGCTCCTAACACCCCACAAGGCCAGGCATAGGGTCCGCCTTGTTCGTGTGAGGCGCTAGCCTCAGGCAGCAGGCTCTCAGAATGCACATGGAAAGAGTGGTGTGGGTAGACGGGCCCATTTTGCCCTCTAGGGTAGAATGTATGAGGGTGTCAGGAGTATTTCCAACTGGGTGGCAGGAAAAGGTTTCCATGTCATGAACCAGATCCCCAGATCCTGGAAGTTTCATATCGTGAACTTAGCTTCAAATTGTGGGTGGGCTGGTAACCAGGGAGTCAGAATTTCCTCTTGGAGATAAGGCCTCACTGAGTCTGGCTCCAGTTATTGCCCACAATATTCTCTCTCCCTTTCTTCCATAGTAATAGAATTCTTAGCATCACTAAAAGGCTACACTTTCTCTAAGAGGCTGTACCTGTCTCAGCCACCTTTCCATTTAGGTGTGGTCAATGGGTGTAATTGGAAGTTTTCCATGGATGCTTCTGGGAGGTTAACCTGAAAAAACACTCTTATACCAAAGCCATTGAATTGTACGCTCTAAATGGATGAATTGTATGGTATGTGAATTATATCTCAATAAGTATATCTCAGTGCTCTTTGACCCCTTGTGTACACCCTTTACTCTCTGGAATAAAGATGTGATGGCTCGTGCTCTAGCTGCCCTATTGGACTATGAGGACGAGGGCCACCTCTAAGGAAATGAACTGGGTGTTAGAGGACTTCGTTGACCAAAGCCATTAACCCAGTTTTGGATTACATATCTCTGGACTGTTGTGTGAAATAGAAACAAACTTCTGATGTATTATAACCCCTGCCAATTAGGTTTCTGTTATTTGCAACTAAACTTAACTGTGACAACTAATCTCACTGAGAGACTGTCTTTTAGCTCCCTATCTCCTCTTGTGAGACCTGCAGCTTCACCTGCACGGGCTGCCATCCCAAAGGGCCTTCATTGCTGTGCGACATCTTTGAGTCATATTCTATTATCTGAAACGTGGAGATGATTATACTTTCCCCTCCTTGCTTACTCATGGAGTTGAGATAATCCTTGAGATAATGTATGGGGAAGCACTTGGAAAATTAGAATGTGCTTTACAAATATTATGCATGAAGCTGTTATCACCAGCTCCCTATCTTTTTATTAAAATTGGACACATGAGTGAGAAAAAAAAGAAAATGTAAAGGCAGAGAGAAAAAAAGACATGTCAGCATTTCCTACCGACCAGCCGTGAATTATCATCACCAGCGGCAGGGAGGAGTTGAAGCCACACTGCCGCAAGGTGTCCGGGCGGTGGAGCTGAATCTGACAGCCCTGGTCAGTTCCCCCTTCGAAGAGCAGGAGTCTGGTCTCCGTCTGCTGCAACGTTTCACCTTTTCCAACTTGAGGTCTTCTTCCAAATGGCTCTGGAACAGAAGATAAAGAACGGTGCTTAGCCTGGCATCTCTTCCACTCCTGCCAGCTCCGGGACACCCCAAGGCTGGGAAGAACAGTCAGTGGAGTTCCCGGGAGGTGATGGAGATGGTCATGAGCTGCAGCTTTGGGGAACCCCAAAGAACATGTCCAGGAGAATGAGCCTTTCTCCCCTGGGAGATGGTGGAGGGTGACCTAGAGCACCGACACACAGGTGGAGAGGGCCGCCTCCATTCTGCCCTCCCAGTGGCTACAGGACCAGCTAGTCAGAAACTAGAGCAACTCTAGGACACTAGGAGTATGGGAGAGGCAGTAGGGACAGAGGCTCAGGGAGGACAAGGGTTTCACCAAAACACACTGCCAAGAAGTGGTCAAGTGGGGATTTAAACCCATGTCTCTCTGACTCCAATTCCCTATATTCCTGTGCTAGGGAGACAGTGAATAGAGCATCTTAGTTAGATGACACTGTGCATTCTTTCATATAGCTTCACCTGTTGTCACTTGCAGACACATTACATCACGTAGCCTGGCATGGACCAGGTAGGGCCGGGGTGGGGAAGATCATAAAGGAGGGGTCAGTTTTGCTTGGTGGGGGTGTGGCATCCAGGGAGAAGTTTTCAGGGAAGGTGATGCTGATTCTAGCCTTGAAGGATGAAAGAAGCTTGTGTGTATGTGTGGGTGGTGGGAGGTGGGAGGTGGGAGGGAGTAGGGCTTTCTGAGGGAGGGAACAGCTAAGTAAGGGCTCAGAGGCAGGGGACAAGGCTGGGCATCCAGAGGGTGAGCAGCCCTGAGATGCTGAGGGATCTGGACTTTGTACTCTAGGCTAGGTGATCAGCTGCTGCCAAAGATTTTGAGCAGAAAGGATAAATATCTGTTTGGAAGTTCTCAAAGACTGCACGGCGTGGGGTAGGGAAAGAAAGATTTCTTTTAAGATTTCACCTTTTGTTGATTTTCTGAAAGGTCTTTGAATCTCTCTTCTGGAGGAGCCTCACCCTGTCCCTGAGCCACCCACACTTTAGGGCAGGGGTTGGGGAGTCACCCAACTCTGCAAGGCAGTCCGACAGCTAGTTAGACCATGGTATCGTCCAAAGACACACACCTCTGTCCGGAGGCTGGGTGAAGCCTAAGGAGGTGCCCTGTGTTCAGGGTCGTGGCACCCCAGGATGGTTGACATCTTTTCTGCCAAGATAAAGGATCTGGCCAATCACCCTCCCTCCCAGCAGAGGGTGGGCTTCCCTGTGGCTGAGGGGCAGACACAGGCCATACAAGCATTTTTTGTCTGTGAACTAAATTCAGCCCAATTACCAAGGACCCCAATCATTCTTTCTGAGTACAGAGTCATTCAGTCTTCTCAAGTGCTAACTGTGGGCTCCCAGTTTCAGGGGATAGCAGGACCGAGAGATGATGGACCTACAAAGTGCAAGGGGAGGCATTAATGAAACTGGTTTTTCTACCCAAAGGTTATTAATTCAAAAGGTTATTAATTTCTGGCGAAGGGCAATGCTTTTGCACTATGATGGCAGAATGAAATGCATCATGTTTTATTTAAAGGAGATGTGAATGAGCCCTGGCTGTTTTGGCTCAGTGGTTAGAGTGTCAGCCCGCAGACCAGAGAGTCCTGGGTTCGGTTGCCGCTAAGGACACGTGCCTCGGTTGCAGTTTACCCCCGGCCCTGGTTGTGGTCGTGTGGGTGGCAACCAGTTGATGTGTCCCTCTCACGTTGATGTTTCTCTTCCTCTCCCCTTCTTGCTCTATCTGAAGATAAATGCAAAAATGTCCTTGGATGAGGATTAAAAAAAAGGAGATGTGGATGAGAATTGGAATAACGTCTCTGAGATCATGAAGATTCCTGCTGCCCAGTGTGGCTATCCCAAGCTTGGGGACTGTCAGAGCATACCTCACCCTGCAAACACGCTCCCCGTCTGTCCTCCCCATTTCAGGGTGTGCACTGCCCTCCTGTAGTCTAAGCCAGAAGCCGGGGTGTCACCTCGAACAGCCGTACCCGCCTGCCACATCCTCCGAGACCCCAGGGCCCTCGTTCAGGCGCACACTGTTTCTTGCTTGGATTATTGGAACAGCCGATGTTGGGTCTAGTCATCCTCCCTCACATTGCTGCTCCAAGGATCTTTCTAGAACAGAAGTGACTATTGGATCCTTTCGTGACTTTAAGTTTCTTGGTATTGCAGCCAAAGCCATGACTTAAATGTTAGTCTCTGGTTCCCCAAATCCTCCCCTCTCTCTGTTCTCTTGCTACCCCAGACTGCCAGCAGGCCCCCCAAATGCCATCTCCCACCCCTGCACCCTCACAATTTTGCTTCCTCCTCATCTTTGCTGCTCCCCAGTGATCTCTGGTCTTTTCATTAAAACGGATCTCAGACATCACCTTCTCTGGGAAGCCTCTCTTGCTGTCCCCTCCCTGATCCCAATGTCCTTGTTGTGATGCCTGGCAATTTATTTATTTAGGTGTGTGGTGTTTCCTCCACCAGTACTGGGAGATGCTCAGTGAATTCTTGGTGGGATCTGTGGGATCCAGGGCTCAGATCAAAGGCTAACATTTGATTTCCCATCCATTTATGCATTGGTGTTAAATGTAACTAATTTTCTTTTATTCAGTGGCCAAATAACTACATCTTTCTTCATTTCAGGACAGCTGACCGGAGTGCTAAGAGGACTATATGAAAATAAATGGGGGTAGAATAGTACCTATCTCATGAAGTTGTTATAAGGATTAAATAAGATGATATCTGTGAACAGCTCAGAACAGTGCTTGGCACGTGGTTAGCAGGAATGTAGGGCTGTGTGGTTAAAATAAGTACAGATTGGATCCACCATCTTGCATTTTTGATCTGTGAAATCCTTTCTGTGCAAATTTACCCCAGTTGCCCTCATAGGACCAATTCTGTCTTATGTGTATTGACTCTGGATTTAACTAGGAGAATAGGAAGCATGACATGGATAGGCATGACATGGAAGAAAATTTTTGACTTTAAGTAGTTCACAAAAATTCATGGTAGAAAAAATAGGAACAAAGAAAATAAAGGCGCCCTGGCCAGTTTGGCTCAGCGGTTAGAGCATCAGCCTGCGGTCCGGAGAGACCCGGGTTCAGTTCCCGCTAAGGGCACGTACTTCGGTTGCAGTTTTTCCCCTGGTTGGTCATGCGGGTGGCAGCCACTCGATGTGTCCCTTCACATCGATGTTTCTCTCTCTCTCTCCCTTCCTCTCTCTCCCTCCCACTCTATCTGTACAAAAAATGGAAAAATATTCTTGGGTGAGGATTAAAAAAAAAAAAAAGAAAATAAAGGCAGTAAAACAACAAAGAAATGTTACTAAGTTAGCACCCTAACATGCACAGTATGTGATCCTATCAGGCTGCTGGAGGTGGGCCACAGATTTTATTCTGAGCTTCCTACTGGCCAAATCAAAAAGGGAAACAGGAGCAGTTATAGGATTCATGGTGTCTTCTTGCTCACACTTTCCTGGCCCTGAAGCCTGAGAGAGTTTCCTTACGCATTATTGTTAAAAGACGGTCACTGGGTGAGACAATGGCCATCGTCTTGAACATCATTCCTACACAGTAGCAAGTTTTATGTGGTCGACTCTGAGAGCGGTCTGCAACCCTCACTGGAAGCAGTGGCTGCAGCGCCAAGCAGCATTGAAGTCACAGGGAATCTGCGAGGCTCTTCACTGTAATCTAGCAGGAGTCCCACGACTGAGGGAGGCAGGGCCACTTCAGGTCACATTTTGGGTGGAAGGAGTGAAGCTCTGAGCTGCTGTGACAGTCTGATTGTCCCCTTTGCAGAACACACAGAATACGGAATCATCCTCAGCCAGGCCATGGCTTCAAGGACTCACTGCTGTTGCTTATACCCACATCTTTACTGAACTCTCTCCCCCGGGCTTCAGCCCTGCACAGAGCCAGCTCTTGACTGGGCATCTCTACCCAGGGAACTTTTGGCACTGAAAACTCAGTGAGGCCAAACTGGATTGATTTTCTCTCCTCCCAATTCATTCTTCTTTTTCTACATTTCCTGTTGTGGTTTGTAACACCATCATTCATCCATTCCATTTCTCAAGCTAGAAAGCTTAGAGCTGTCATAAAATGCCCTTTCTGTCCCCTTGGCACCCCACCAGGGCCATCAGATACTGAGGACTCAGACTCAGGATGGTCTGCTCTGCCCCTGCTGCTGGCCTAGTCTAGGAAGCATCTTGTTTTTTCCAAGTTGTATTGTAATAGACTCTTAAATGTTTTATATTTAATTTTCTTATTTATAGAATTTATACCTGCTACTCACATGTATACAATCTGAAAAATGCTGAGGTGAATAAAAAATCTCACTATTCAGAAAAAACACAAGTAATATTTGGAGTATTTCCTTCCAATCTTACGCAGATATTTATTTCATGGATATTTATCTGGCGTGTCTATTAACAGAGACCATGTTATATGGATGGTTTTATATCCCTCTTCACCTGTCATGATAATTCTTAGAGCAATAAAATTCTTAAATAACATGCTTTTGAAAAGTGGCATAGTTTGCTTACTTGTTCCTTTATTAGACATTTACGTTGTTTCCAGGTTTCTTTTTTTTTCTTTCTATTATAAACAATACTCTGATGACCATTTTTATGGATAAATATTCATCTGAATCTATGAGAATTTTCTTAGTATAGATTCCCCAAAGTAGAGTCATTGGCTCCTTAGGTGTAATCTTATATCTCTCTCTTTTTAGAGGCATACAGATCTATATTGATTTTCAGCACCTTGTAAGCTAATATTTATCGAGTGCCTTGTCTGTGCCAGGCCCTTCTCAGTGGTCTGATTTGTACGAACTCACTGAGGCCTCAAGCAGCTCTGTGAGTGTGCTGGGAGCAAGCCCGAGGGGCCCATCGGCTGAGGACATCTGCTGCCACTGTGTTCGCTAGGAGCAGCTCCCTCTCCAGACATGTCTTCTGAAATTGTCCATTTCTTGTGTCTTTAGAAGAAATAAAGGCA